ATAATTTATAAATAGCTATGAAGTCTTTTTTTTTGGATGTTTTTAAAGTTTTTTGGTACTTTACTATATTAAGATATATATATATATATATATATATATATATATATATATATATATATATATATATATATATATATATATATATATATATATATATATATATATATATTTTAAATTAAGAACGCTATAGGGCTTTGGATGAAAATAAAAATAAAAAATAACAAAAAATCAGTTTTTGAACGTACTTTTGAAGCACGATATTTAAACTAGCAGTTTGCTAACAATATATATTTTATGCTTTTTTAGTTCTGAACTAGCTAATATATGATAATAAAATAAAATAACCACTAAAGATTATAGGTTTTGTTATTTTTTGTTAATGATTCTTTTTTTTTTTCTTTTTGCAACTGCAGATAATGTAAGCATTTTAGTAATTACGTCAATATAATATAATATTTGTATATCACAATTTTTTAAAAATGGGGCTCGGGGATAAGACAAAATTATGTCCTTCTTGCTCCAGCCATTACTTATTTTGTTGTACAAATATATGCAATTTGTATTTATTGTAAAAGGCAAAATAAATATATAGTTTTTTTGTTATAAGGGTATGGGAAATTTCAAAATAATTTGCATGCAAATTTCCATATCTTGACCATGTCCATCAAATTATTCAACACGTTTAAAAAAATCAAGCCATATGCAAGGTTTAAAGTATATAGTATTTCTAAATTGCAGTGGACACCACTTTATTTTCTGCACATTAGTACCATGATAAAATGGATTTATGGTTAGGGCAATCAAATACGATTTGTATTCTATTGTTTAAAGAACATAGCCATTAACACAAAATTGAATATCAAAAAAATTTAGTTTAAGTTTTATAATATCATTTTATATTTTATTATAATATATTATATTTTATTATAATATAAATTTTTTTTAATTATATATAAAAAAAATTTATAAAAAAAAATTTATCTTGAAAAATAAGAAGTTTTTTAAATTAATTAATTTTACCGTATTTAAAGCTGAATTCTAAATGTATTTCACTCTACATTTTTTATAAATGTAAAAAAATGAAGTAAAAAAATAATATTTACTGAGAAATAATAACATTTTAAAGAATGAAATTTCCAGCCCCATTTAATGTTTCTGAGCTTTTCTGGCGGGAAGCACTGGCTTCTTATAAGCCAGTGGTTATAATTATATTTATTATAACGTTCTGGATGTCTCCTTACCAGCACATTTTTATCCTCTCCAGGGCCCTAAGCCTATATAAAATATATACGCAATGACTCTATAAGAATAAAAAATTTAAAGTTTTTTTGTTATAAATTAATTTTTCAGTCTTACTCAAGAAAGTTTACCCCACTACAAATAAATAATAGTATAATAATGGCTGCTTTACGATGTCTTTGTATAAAATATTTCATAGTTTAATTGTTAATAGTTCATATTTTAATTGTAGAAATAAACTATATTTATTGTATTGTCTTTACAAAATGAATGTATCTAAACAATAAATAATTATTATTAGTTTGTAGTTTTGTGTGTTTTACTTAAACATTTTGATTTATAGCTAGGCCCAGGACCTTCAGACATAGCATAGGCCGGGGAGTGGGAATTTTACCTAACCTTCCTGGCCAGTCCGCCCTGATCTTTAATTTTTCCGACTTTAAATGTTTCTTTTAAAGTAAGCTCAAAACAAATTTATTTATCCCAATGAAATTTAAGTGATGATGTTCAAAATTTATCTAGTGATTATGTTAATTATGAAATTTTACATTATTTTTTTATTTGAAAATTTTCAATTTTTTTTTTATACATTTAGTGATTGTAAGCATTTTAACACTTTTAACACTTCTTAATTATTCACTATTTTGAATTTCTTTAATTTATTAGTTATTTTCTGTTTTAATTCTGATTTATATCTTTATATATATTTGTATGTTACGGTTATGTAGAATTTTTTTTTATATATAAGGGGCTCGGCGATAAGGCAAAATGTGCCTTCTTCTTGCTCCATCCATTAATTTTGATAAATCTATATGTGAATTAAACATTTAACAGCAAAATAAATTACACAAACGAAAAAAAAAAATTTAGAGAACAAACAAATAGTTTTTGATTACTAAAATATACTAAAAAATTAAAAACTTTGAAAAGATCACTGATGAGCGCTGATTCTTTGAAAAGGCGACTTTTAAACAAAAAGTAAAACCATCTATTTATCATTTAAACCTATAATATTTAAGCCTACGTTATTATTTTCTTACTAGTGCAATACATCATAACTATTTTTTATAAATATAATAGACAAAAAGTTTATATTTGTTTTGAAAACTAATTTTCCACCAAATATTCGGAGCTTTTTTTTTTTTTTATATTAACGAAGTTTGTCTTCTAGATTTAATAGCATCAACATATTAAAGAAAGAAGAGGTTATTTTTTGATCTCTCTCTGATTCTTACAACAAGTTGCTTTTAAACAATAAAAAAAGATTAAATGCTAACTACTAAAAATTTGGATTTTTTTAAAAGTTTGTTAATTTATAAACTTCAATTAAAAAAAAAAATAAGTTAATATTTGAAAAAAGTTATAACTAAAATAATTACTGGTTATTGAAAATTCCTCATTATTTTTCATGTATCGAAGCTTGCAACCACACGTTATATTTCTGTCAATACTTAGAAATTCAAGATTATATGTTTTCAAATTATTATCGTAATAGCCGTCTATTTTCTTCATCCAAGTATTATTATAATTAGGAAAGTTATAGTGTTTAGGTGGTGTACGTGTGAGCACGGTATCAAACTGATCACCAAACACATCAAATGCTAATGGAACTAAAGCCTGTTTTTCTAAAATAAAAATAAAATGTAAAATAAAAATAAAAGTTAACTCTTGACAAAAACAAAATTTAACTAAGTGCGTTAGTGCAGTTGTTCTATTACATATCCCTTTAGAATAGCGTTTAATAAAAAAGTTTCATTTAGCGGGCGTTGAAGAACCCCAAGTTTTTCAATTCAAAACTAGAAGTGTTAACCTCTGTGCTAAAGATTTTAATTTTATATAGTAATTAAACTTTTTTAAAAAAATTTTTGAAAGAGAATGAAAGAAAACTTTTTTAAAAGAGAATGAATGAACACTTTTTTAAAAGAGAATGAAAGAAAACTTTTTTAAAAGAGAATGAAAGAGAATGACTTATTTCGATCCTTATCTGAATTAACACTTATTACATGTTTGGGATTGCACATACATTTATAAAGTAAAGAAAATCTGTTTAACTTACCTTGATAACCACAATAAAAAATTATTAAGGTTTCAAAAAGGTTATAAGTAACTCGCCATCCTAACTTTGTTCCTGCTCCTTTTAAAATATAAATGTAATCTGCAGGATTGACATTTTCAATAGATGCACAAAAAACTATCGAAAGTATTAAACACAAATTTAAGCAAATAATAAACTTTTTTGAAGTTGAGCACCAAACATAGTTTCCCATCGAATATAGTTTCTTTTCACTTTTGTGAATATAATTTACGTCGTCGTTTTACTTTAACAATTTTATATTTGACGCCATCGTTTAAACTTTTTAAAGTTAATAAAAGTTTTACAAATTAGTAATGCTATTATTATAATATTACGATCTAACAAAATTAACGACAATAGTAAAGTGTTCTTGTTACGACAAGATTTGTTTGTAATTCAAAATGGAGAATTTGAAGCTTTTATAAATCATTCTTTAAAAATCAGCCATGTTTACGCACATCTTCAACTGCCATCATTTCTATATCACTTTTTAGAACTATGAAGCTGTTGTTTTTATTTTCGATGGGATGTTTTACTTTCAGTGACTAGTCAAAGTGTAATTAGAGTCATAGTTGAACGGTGAATAGAAGCTGAATGGGGCGCTAGAGCAGAAACAACAATTAATTTTTTTTTTTACATTTTAGGCGTTTCGGAAAAAAGTCATCTAAAAAAAAAAGTAAAGCAAGAGTTTTCTCAAAAAGTTTTCTGCAAAAGAAAAAAATTTGCAAAAAAATTTTTTTTTTTGAAGGCGAAAAAACTTCTACCGATTGTTGAATGCTAATCCGCGGTGCTCTGTGATAAGACCGTAAGGAGGAAGTACTTGACGCACGTGTGTGTGTCTGTGTGTGTGTGTGTGTGTGTGTCTGTGTGTGTGAAGCTCTCGAAATAATTTTATAAAATTGAAAGAATTATGACCAAAAAGTCCGCTAACTAAATTTAGTAACTGTTAACCATTAAAATTAAAAAATCATAAAAAACGTCATTACACATGAAGACTCCACGGGAAGAAACGGCAGGGTCACATTTTGAATATTTTGACATTTTACACTTTTTAACTTTATAAACAATATTATTATACATTTTATCTGAATTCAAATTAAAAAAACAATTGGATGTACTTTTATAGTTTGATGGAACTTAATCACTTTTTTTAATTATACAATACATACCTCCCCGAAAAGACAAGTGTTAATGAGTTTAAATAATATTTGCAACTTACTAATGGAAATAAACCAAGTTTACCATTTTTATTTTTTGAATTATCAAGACTCATACTTACGGCTATAAGTCTTTATTTTTCAAAATAATCACAGGTGATTTGGTTAATGTAAGTTAAATAATAAAAATGGCGACACTTGAAATACCAATAAAAATGCAAAAAAAAATCTAAGAAAAGAAAGAGTAAGGAAAGATTGCGTAAAAGTATAAAGAAACAAAGATTAGCATCGCATAAAACAGGGCTTGAATGTAACTTAAATGCTTATAGAAGAAGAAAAAAAAATGTTAATAAGATATTTTAACTCTCTATCCAGCAAAGATGCTCAAGATTTGTATCTTGCAAGTTTATTAACTTTAAATAACGTTTCAAAAAGAAGATCACGAAACATTAATTTAAAAGATTATAATAGCAGTTACAAATATAAATTTTTAATTACAAATCACGAGATACTCACGAGTTCGTTTATTAATGTTTGCTTTTCTGCGTTTATTTCAATCTTTGGCATAAAGAATGGAAGATTAGAGACCATTAAAAGAAGCCTTTTAACTAAAGGTAATTTATATATTTTTATTGAATATAGAATGCTTATTTTTAATGGAAGTTTTCTTATATATAAAAATTATTTTTTCACATTATAGGTCACTCTCCCCGTGATAGAAGAGGTAAACACAAGAATCAGTATAACAATTTTACTCCTTAACTAAAAAATAAAATATGTGATCACATTTCTTCTTTCAGAGGTAGGTACCAAGATCTATTAATTATAACCAAGATGAATGACTTGTTTAAAATCAAGTATGGAAATGATAAATTGTCATATGAATTTTATCGCAACATATTTAACAAAAGTTTTAATATTTCTTTTGGGTACCCTAGGACTAAAACGTTCTAAATGCGATGAGTTTAAAATTAAATTTGATGCAATAAAAATTGAACTATCTTTTAATTCGGAGTTTACAAAGCCTGAACAACAATTGCATGAGCTTGAGTTACAGAAAGAACAGCACCACAAAGATGCAGAATTATTTTATGTTAGGAAAAGAAATGCTTGGTTTAAAGTACAAAGGGAGTACAAATTTGAGGCAATTGCTTTTGATTTCAAAAAAAATCTTACCTTACCAAATCAATCAACCAACGACTTTTACTACAAATGAAAATTAGCATTTTATTCATTTAATATTCACGTACTTTCAAGCAATGAAGTTTATTTGTATTGTTATGATGAAACTATAGCTAAAAAAGGGGCTGATGAAGTAACTTTGATGATTTTTTTATGAAACATTTAGACAAAGAAATTTGATTTGTAGAGCTATTTTGTGATTCATGTGGTGGCTAAAACAAAAACTATACATTAATTCGTTTTATGGATTTTCTTGTTCATGAAAAAAAAAGGTTTGACTTTATTAAAGTTACATCTCCAGAACGTGGTCATTCTGTTATGGAATGTGATAAAGATATGGGATTAATTAATTGCAAAACACCCACTAGTGATCCATCAGATTGGATTAAAACATTCAAAAATGCTCGTAAAAAACCCACTCTGTTTCATGTTATAGAATTAACGCAAAGTATGGTTAAAAGTATAACTGATTTTATGAGACCATTTTATAAGAATAAATATCCAATTCCAACTTGTCCTCTTTGTGAATTTTGTTTCAGAGGAGACTCAAGTGACATTGTATTTCATCTTGATTCGTGGAATGAATTATTGTTGAAAACTAATTTAAAAAATAATAGAAAGAACACTATAAATAGTGAAATCCCCATTCTGTATAATGCAAAACTTTGCATCTCTTTGGCAAAGTACAGAGATTTACAAGTATTAAAAGGTTTACATTCAATGCTCAGGTTTACGATTCTTTGCCATACAATCAGGAGGTTATTGAGACATTTCGTAAAAATATTGATTCTGAAGATGAAGAGCAAATAGACTTCTTTTTTTATTTAAATTTTGTTTTTAATTGTTTTTTTCTTAGTGTTTCTTGACAAATTTATAATCTTTAATATGTTTCTTCTTTGCTTCACTTCATATACAACAATTTATATAATTAATAATCACAAGATATTGAATATATCTTTTAATTATTAGTCAGGGTATAAAAATAAAAATTCAGATCAAATAAATGCTAAATTGTTTTTAAACCTATAAAATTTTAAAGCCCCTTTATTATCAGGAAAGAAACTTTGCATTAAATAACTTTTTGTGCTTACAGTTTTGTGACACCTGTATAGGTATAGTTATATAGGTATTTAATAGGTTAACCTTTAAATTAAAAACAAATTGAACTTTGTCATCAACAGTGATATTTTTGAATGAAAGATTCATAATAAAAATTAAAGCTTTTCGTTAACGAGAACCTTCAAAGGACCGATTAATTGGTTCAAGATAGAGAATGCTCGAGTTTCGAGAGTATAATCCATAAATAAGGGTTCGACTGGATTCAAAAAAGTTCAAGATACCAAGTATTCAAGATATCGAGAGTTGACTGTATGAGATATTTTCGTGCACGACATAAGAACAAAAATTGAAGCCTTTGGTTAACGAGAACTATAATTACTTTCTAAACGAAAATATCAACACTAAACAGTATTTTTAATTTTAATTCGATCCCCTAGACTTTTTAAGGGTCAATATTAGGTCTTGGTGGTGAGGTTGTTTGGTAAAATTAGCTTCTGCCTAATTTTATTTATAAGCTAAAAAAAAATAATTAACATTTTATGTTTTTTCACTTAAAAAAGAAAACCTATAACGTAAATTATTATATTTAAATTATAAATACAACTTTAATTGCATAAAAAATTAGTTCTTTTTGTTATATATCTTAAAAATTTTAATTCTTCCCCTAAAAGTAAAAAAGTTATATAGGTTTAAAAGTTTAAAAATGATTTATCGCAAAATGAAAAAATGTGACCCTGCCGTTTCTTCCCGTGGAGTCTTCACATATTTTATACAGGTTGGGCAATTTCAATTTTTTTTTTAAATACAAAGAAAAATGCCTATAGGGAAAATGCCGAAGTTTTTTGTAGTAAACGAATTTTTTTTGTTTACTACAAAAAACTTCGTTCATAAAATTTTAACATTTTTATTTTTGACATATTTAAGGAATTACAATATGCTTAAATATGTCAAAAATAAAAATGTTAAAACTTTTATGAGCATCGTATTTAAAAGGTTCTGGGAAATAGTCCCTGGGAAAAAAAACCCCAAAAAAACGCAAAGTGATCCCTTAAGTAAAAATTCTCCAAAGAAAGTATACCTCCTGCACAAATCTCTTTACAAAAAATCTCCCATCAAAAAAGTTTTCTAAAAAAAAAAAAATTGAAATCTTGAACGCATATTAGGATCGTCTATAAATTACGCAACGAAAAGTATATTTTAAAAACAGAAGTATGAGGCTATTTTACGCGGCGATTTTCATTAAACTTAGGGGTCGTCCATAAATCACACATCGCAAAACTCACTTAAAAAACACAAGCAGGAGATTATTTTGCTCTTTTGCGCGGCGGTTTTTGCTGGACTTGAAAGGTTGTTGTATATATATATATATTTTTTTTTTAGCTTACAAAGTTAGTCTTTTTACAATACAATAAACTATTAAAGTTACTTTACAAATATATATACAAATTGTGATAACAGTGTAAACTAGGTTTCCGAAAGTAGTCCACTAAGATCTTATCATCGGAACCTTAAAAAAACATTTATAAACAATATAATTTACGAATACCTTGTAAAGTATACGTTACAGTAAAGTAATATATATATAGAACTTTTACATTAGCAAATCTTTAAATATAAATAGTTGTTAACAACAAAAACTTTAGGAAAAAATAATAAAAAGTTAAATAATAGATAAATTAATTAATAGTACTCTAAAATGTTATCGAGGGAAAAAATTAAGTTATTAATTTTGTTTTTAAAAAGACAAAAAGAATTTGGTCGATCAAAATCAATATTAGGTAAAACAAGTTTATTCCAAAGGTGCGGTGCACGATAGGCAAGACAAAATTGATTAAAGTTTGTTTGACAAAAAGGTTCGTTAAAAAATTTTTTTCTTTCAAGAGTATATTTGTTGCTGGGTTTTAAACTAAAAAAATCTTTAAAGACTGGGGGGGGGGATAGATTGTTTTTCCACATATAAACAAAGCATAAAATTTTTAAAACGTTGAGTTCAAGTATATTTAAAATTTTCATCTCAACGAAATAAGGTTTACAATGAGAAAAACGATCAGCAAAGTTAATTATGCGAATTGCTCGTTTCTGACAGCGATAAAGACGAATTAATTTACTTTTTTCAGTTCTTCACCAGGCAATATTAGCGTAGTTTATGTAGCAGTGAATAAATAAGAAATAAAGTTGCCTTAAGTGTTTCTTATTGAGATAAGTTCGAGCTTTGTACAAAACTCCAATGTTTTTAGAGACTTTAGTGCATATATAGTTAATATGTTGATTCCAATTAATGTTCATCGAGATAAACACCTAAAAATTTAATAACGGAGTCTCTTTTTATTTCAATTTCATCAATAAAGATTGGAGGCAAATTTAAGGGTAAAAATTTTTCTTTCCTATTCGAATGAAAAAGAGTCCATTTAGTTTTGTCAGTATTTAAAGTTAATTTGTTGGATTTGAACCAGTGGGATAAAAGTTTAAGTTCTTTATTCACTGTGGCAAAATGTTCGCTAATATCGCTCTTAGAGATGAATAAATTAGTATCATCAGCGAACATGATGCTCATCAGATTAATTACTTTATTTAAATCGTTTATATAAATTAAAAAAAGGAGATGTCCGAGGATTGAACCTTGTGGAACTCCACAGGTTATACTTAAACAATTGTTGTGATAGTTGTCATTACCAACAACAAATTGTTTTCTATTTGTTAAGTAACTTCTGAACCACCTTAACGCTTGGTTATTTACTCCATAGTATTTCAGTTTTTTGAGTAGGATGCGATGATCAACCGTATCAAAGGCCTTTGATAGGTCGATAAAAATACCTAATGTATATTTTGATTGTTCAAACAATTTTGAAATTTCATTTACAAGTTGGATAATTGCATGCTCTGTTGAGCTATCCTTTTTAAAACCAAATTGATTAACATAGAGTAGGTTATTTTTGTCAAAGGGTTTATATATTCTGTTGTACATAACTCTTTCTAGGATTTTTGAAAATACAGAGAGCACAGAGATGGGGCGATAATTAGTTATTTGGGATTGGTCACCATCTTTATAAATAGGTGTAACTTTGGCAATTTTTAATTGTTCTGGAAAGATTCCTTGTTTAATTGAGGCATTGAAAACTTTGAAAAGAACATCTTTTAGTTGCTTAAAGCAATCTATTATCACATTTCCATCTATTTCGTCTGGTCCACATGATTTATTCTTTTTAATAGATTTGAGCGCCTTTTCAAGTTCTTCAATTGATAAATCAGAGGATAGCTCATCAGAGCATATGCACTTCTCCAAGGATAATAAAAAGTCACTAAGCAAAGTTTTTGTGATAGGAATCTTATTTAATCGTTTAGGACCTATTTCAGTAAAAAATTTATTAAATTCTTGTGATATAACGTTTGGTTCAAATATGCTTGTATTTTCAATTTTATTCATTTGTGGCAGAAAACCAAAGCATGATTTTTGTTTTCTTATAATTTCCTTTATTATTTCCCAAATGCACTTGGTGTTATATTTGAATTTGTTAAGTAATTTCGAGTAATAATTTTTTAAGTTTTTACGAATTTTCTTAAATAAATATTTATAGTTTTTGTAAATTTTTTCGTTGCAGTTGTTTTTGTTTTTAGAAAATT